TTCGATTTTAATGCAATTAAGACAAAACTTTGATTAAGAGTCTACCTTGTAAACAGCGATAATTGATAATTTAATCAGATTAAGGTCATAATCGAAGAGAAATCAAATCAAGACATTTGGAGTGTGCTGATTTTAGTTGCATTATTAAGTGCAGAACAGGCATGTAAACACCTTAATCGAACTTTTACCCTCATGTAGGAGTTTTCGCCACATTTTTGGGACAGGATAGTCCGCACACACACACACACATACACACACATGGCTGTTTGACACTCTTTACACCTAGCAAGTCAGTGCAGACCACAGGCGCCTGCATCGTAAAATGCTGAGTTTTTTTTTTCTTTCTTCCATTTAAGCATGCGGTATGAACTTCCATTAAAACAACACTCTTCCAGCAGTTAATAGTTGCATCCAATATCTTAGTTTGTCACAAGGTTCATGCATGAAATGTTCCTGAATGAAAGTGAGTGTGCCAAACTGCAATTAAAATAGAAAATCAAATCAAAAATGAAACACCCGAAATTACACAAACTGAAATGTGGATAGCGTGGTGACGCAATGACGTTAATTGAATTGTGTTATAACATGTAAAATGGAATCATGAAAGGAACATTCAAAAAGCAACTCATGTAAACACCATAATCTTATTATTGTTTTAATTAAATCAAGGCAAATAATCTATATACGTAAACAGTCAGTGATTCAACAATAGTCAATACACACAAGAAGTGCTAATTATACAAAGGAACTGTTAGTGCTCAGAGAATGAAGTGCTAGAGTAAGGCTTTTTTATTGAGAGAACAGTGTGTCTACAGGTAGGCATTGGCTGGTGTAAAATTCAGATGGTATGATAACCATGGATAAAAATACTGTTTTTAAATGTCTGGGTAAAAATCAGCAACTTTTTTTTCTCCTTTGAACACATTTTATTTTAAGAAACATTTAAAATATTTTGGACCATGTGGAGGGCCCTTTTCAGCGGAGAGATACTGTTGTCCTAAAAAACTAAAGAAAATAGTAAAAAAAAAAACCTTGTTTTAAAAATACAAAGTTCATGTATACTATAGGAATGGTACAACAAAGTTTTGGCTGTTTTAAAACCTTGACTTTTCCAAATTGTTATGAGTTACTGTTGCCTTTTAATCAGCTCAAAAAGATTTAGATGAACACTATGGTGTTGATTGTAAATGGTGGGTTTTGGAACAGTGCAATGAAGTAATTTTATTTGGTGCGTTTCTCACTTTTTTGATTTTCTTTTGGCATGAATGACCAGTAAATAACTCTAGCAGTGGCAACCCAGAACATTCAGCATTGTGGTGCTGTTTTTCAAAGGCAAAAGCTGCTATTCAATAATTTCAGCAAAAATCTAATACTGTCCTTCAACTTTTACTTGTGTAATGATGATAATTTGCAGTATATAAAGAATCTGTTTTTTTTTTTTTTTTTTCTCTTTATTTTCAGTCAGAACTATCAACACGGCATATTCCAGTCTATTGGTTTTAAAGAGTTTCACGAGTACCTTACAACGAGTGAGAACATCAGTCAGGAAGAACGTGATAAACTGATGAATAAGGGTAAGGATTTATTCACCTTTTAATTCTGCTCTTTGTTTTCAAACTAAACAGCTGTTGCTTCAGGCCTTGAAAATGAACCTAGCGAGATTGTTGATGTTCTGGGAAATTGTTTCTGCGTGAGAACAGTTATGAAAGCTTTCCTAACTTCACACAAAAGGGAGCAAACAGAATCACAGACAGTCTTTCTGAAAGCATTCTCATGGTCGCCATAGCAGTTCTTTGTAACAGTGAAGCAAATCAGTCCTTGAACAAACTCAACACATTTGAAGCTAGAACATTTAGTCCAGTAGTGATAAAATGTTATGGTTTTAATATACAAAGTCTATTGTGTGTCTTTGATTTATTCTCATTAGCCAGTTGCTTCTAGAGACAACACGGGAAAGCGATCACAAATTGAGGAGCGGGGAAGGGAGGCGGGGTGGAGCAACAACGAGGGGAAGCCTTCACAAACTGAGGAGCGATCACAAACAGAAAGCGGCGAGAGCGTCAAAGTAGCCAGAAGTCATTCATTTTCAATGAGAAACGGCGGCGAGAAGGAGTGCGTCTTCTCCGGTGTGGGCGTTGAGGAGTTGAAATCAAGTTAACTTTATAGTAAGAGCTTTGACGCGCTTCGGCGGCAAGCAATCAGAATAAAGTAGTCCACCGCTTGAGAGGTTTTCAGAGAACACAGACCTGTGAACTTTGGTTCCGACAGTTGTTCCCAAGAGTTTGATTATTGCGGTTGCCGGATTTACAATTATTAAAAATCGCGACGACACGGGGCCCCCTAATCACGTGGGGCCCCCCCGCGGTGCGTGCCCTGCAGGCCCGTCCGCTACGCCACTGCCCAATACCTTAGACAGACGTAATCTGAGAATGTAACCGAAAACAAACAGGAAGTGCATTTTCAGATTTCAGTTGAAGATTACAAGGGCTAACAATTTTTGTTTTTCTTATTGACGTGCAGAGATAAATTGTTCTACACAAAACTACCAATGTAAGCTACCAAAATCTTATATGGTTGGTTTTGATTTCATTTGCGCTGTGTCATGAAATATTAGGGATTTGTGTCATTTAAATTTTTTTTGTACAGTTATTTTTTGTTCTTGTACTTTTTTGTGTTAACCTCTTAAGGCCCAATGTGTTTTTTTTTGTACATTTTTTATTTCTCTTTGCTATTTGGGCTTATTGAAACCTAATTAGAATAAAACCCAAGTATCATCTTTTTATATGATGTTCTTTTAGAAAAAAAATATGTCCATATATGTGGACTCGTGGTCCGAATTAACACAAAACATTTTTTCAGACTGTTTTTTTGTGCATATATAACGTATACATTTTTTAACATGTTTTGACTATCAGAGTAAAAACAAGCTATAGAGGTTAAGCTATATTTCACTGTCATTTTGTTCCTTTCCTACTTGTCAGCTATTTTTAGACCCCAGAATGTAGAGGTCTACGCGGGATTGTTTTTTTAATCCTTCTTCCGCGAGGTATTATTCCGCATTCGACCGCCTCTGCAGTATATTCTTTAATTCTATAGTATTTGCTCACCTGTTGCCCGCTTAGAGTCATTTTCTACCTGACCTGACTCTTTCCTTTAAATTTAGATCTGATTTCCAAAATCTCAAGTTTAAATTGGGTACTACCAAAAGAGAGAAATGCTTGATGTGGGTTTCCTAACAGCAAACTGATTCTTTTCTTAAGCTAGCCGAATGTCCTTCATGAACTGCGCATCTTCACTTTGCTCTGCCGTGGTAAAGCCAGCTCTGAGGACCGTTATGCAGATGATGCTTGCACAGACTGTGTGAATAAAATGCACATGCAGAAGGCACTAGTCCATCCGTTCATCATGTATAACAGTCATAAGCACTGTCTGTACCGGTGCTCAATAAGAATGAGGAAACCACAGATATGCTGTTCCGAAATAACGTCTGGACTTGGGAATGCTATATTGTTAGACTACCCCCTCCTGCTGAAATTACACCAGAGTTAATGATTGCTACTGCATTTTGATAGTTAATTTATTCCCACACCATGAAAAATCTGATTGGGTTCTGCGGCTCTTTCGGTACAGCCATGGGAATGCAGATCTCTACCAGGATGTATCTGTTAAAATACTGTCTGTGGATGCTTTTGGTCTGCTTAGTGCTTAACTAGTTCTTCCTGTATTTTGTGGACAAAATGTTTGGTAATTGTGGCCTAAAATTTGCTGTTCTATTTCTCAATGTACAATATTGGTGGCATTTCATATGTTTTGCATGAACACTTGATGCGTGAACACTTTCTAAATGCAATAGGTATGGGAAGATAACAGGTTTTAAGGTTTACTGCAGTTTGGAAAAGTCAAGGTTTTAATACCGCTAAAATGTTTTGTTTTACCATTCCCAAGGTATATGTAAGGTTTTTTTAATGTATTTTTATTTGTTGTAAAGAAGTCTGTGTTTTTGAAATTAATGAAGTAACCAAAAGTCAATGATTTATTCGAACTATTTAGCCTGACATGTTTACTGTTCTAAAATATAATTACTTTTTCGTAAAATAGATCAATGGGGAAAATAATTTGTTTGTTTACTTTTACCCAGACATATAAAGATAACTTATTTTAAAGCAGTAATCACACTACCTTGAAACCATGGTATTTTTATTCAAGGTTATCATACCATATGTCAGAAACTTTTACTGGCCTAAGCCTAATATGCAAATATATATTTTAGTTAGTATAAAAAGTGAATGGTGTCAATTTGTAGCAAGATTTAAGAGAAATTTGTGACAAAAAAAAATGTATTCCTTGATTTGGCGTTAAATTCAGCAATTGCAGAATCTGGAAATACTGAAGGGACTGCTCAACGGCTGCCTGTTTTATTTGATTTATTATATGTTATGGAAATTCAGCCTTTTAGTCGGTGTAAGTTAGGGAATTTGGCTTAGAGTGGGAACTTTGATGCCAGCATGTCTGACGCACATGTAAACAAGCACTTCAGACATGACAAAATGTATAGCTGTGAACTACACCAAACTATACTCTCAATGAAAGCCGCTCTGTGATGAACTGTCTCAGTCTTTGAATGATTAGTATTTGAGAGTACTTCTCATCAAATGCTCATATGTAATTAATTTGATTACCAGCAAGATCTGATCAGATCTCTGAAACATTCACCGTTTAACAGTCAATGCTCTTGGTCTCTGTTAACAGCTGCCGAGAGGCTGTAGAGAGGGAGACGTGCTTTTTGTCATTCTCTCTCTCTTTTTTCTCTCTCTCTCTGTGTCAGTCAGTTGAACTGGTGTCAAGATCAATTACCGGCGCGCTTGGCATGAAAGTTGGTGCACTCATAACGCTGTTCATGTCTGCTAAGAGCTCATAAGTGTGTTTCACTTGGGTTGAGTGCTGAGCATTACAGACTTGTCAATAGGCCATGAAGTTAATAATGCTGCTTTTGGATTGGTTGGTGTTAATCTGATGTTGATGCGATAGACTGTGAATTGCATTTTTGTGCAGCTACCACTCCCAGGGAGGTGAGCTCAAAAATGATAATATGTTTTAGCCTGAACAGTTTTTCACAATGGAAAATGAGATTGTAATATTTCCTAGTACACAATTAGCATATTAAATTGATTTCTAATGGATCTTGTGGACAACAACGACTAAAATTATAGTGGCTGAAATTGATGAATAATAGCGTTAATTTAATTTTGCTGTTTGTTTTTGATCAAATAGAAAGAGCCTTGGGTAGCATAATAGCATACTTTCTTAAAAAAATAAAAATAAATATATCATACCACCCCAAAATCTTTAAAAAGTAGATCATCAGTAACATGTTCTGTGTGCTTCAAACTAGAGGGGAGGTGCTCAGCTTTGTTGCCTACCAAACATGCTTGAAACACACAAGAGGCTTATGATGCAATATTTTCACAGGTTTTAGTACCACGGGTTACTGTAAAATTCAGCATAGCATGATGACACATGAGTTTTGTGGATAAGAGCAGGTGAGCAAACACAAGTTCAGAAGGCTTGAGTGTAACTACATGATTTTGGTGTAAATTATGAACAAAAGTTCACATTCCATTTGTTTAAAATGTCAGAGCAAAAGCTTAGAGTAAAATATCAAAGTCAGCCTGATGTGCAGAAATCCTTGTTTTTTGGTGTCAAGCAAGCAAACTTGATATTGTTCAGCATTTGTGCCATGTATGCACATTGATTAAAAACCTAAAATAAATGTTCTATTTGTTCATCCTCTATGTCCTCTACGTCAGGGTTGTCCAATTACGGCCAAAAACCAAATCATTGAGAGGCGTGGGTCGAAGACAAGTATATCAAACTATTTTTTACAATAAAGTTGCCATGGGTAATTTCCTAATTTATTTCAAAGTATTTAAAAATAAATAGAAAACATTGCTGTGGCTTGTATTAACTAATGCAGTATGACTTTTTAATTAGAACTTATTACAAAAAAAAAACGTAAACAATTAAATAACACAGCAGAGTTCAATGCTGAATACGCTAGTCAAGCAGAATCTGCCTTTGCCATGATTTACTCACCAAAGTCTCTCCATTGTTCTTTATCCGTCTAGTGACCGCATGTACATTTTAAACTAAACTACAGCATTTAAATTAGTTTAATATCAATTAGCTTTTTTCTGTAGCCTAACAATAAAACACACAATTAAAAGGTTGCATTAAATTTGAAATGACAATAACTAAACCATCCCTGATCTGTCTCCCTCTCTTTCCAAATGGGATGGCAGGCTAAATCAAAGGTTACCATGGGCCAACTTTGGCCTGTGGGCCTTAGTTTGAGCATCTCTGCTCTACATGTTAGTTGGTAACCAAGCAGTTGATAGTATTCTCATTGACTTCCAAAACTGTTTTTCCCCTATTTTTCTAAGTCAAGGAGTATTTACTTTTGGGTTTTCTTTTAGTTTACCGACAGATTACTTCAATTTGTTCCAAAGGAAGTGCTAAGTGAATGATCATTCTTCACAAAAAAGAAAAATAATATGCCTTTAAAAGTCCTGTGAATTGCTTTGAAATGTGCATTTGTATTCAATGTTTGACGTAATCTCAACTAAATAATTAAAAGAGGGTGGAATGTAGATTAGCCCCTCACCTTTTTAAGTAGCGAATAACATTTTGTTTTTATCAGAGCTCTGCTAAAGAGAGTGGTTGAGCTCAAGCAAAGATCGAAGAATACCCAAAACATGTCACTCTTAGAGTTTTGAATGGGGAAAATGTAGCGATCAATTCTAGTAAACGACCTTCTAGTAAAGGAGCCAATCATCAATCGCTATAGACTCAAACATTTTTGATGAAACTAAAGAGACAGCTGTTGTTTAATTTTATTGGCGGTTCCTAGTATGAAATTAAATGGTAAGCTTGGCAAGCAATTTTGAACAGTTTGATGTTTGCCTATTCAAACAAAATACCCGAGCATATTGCCCGAGAGGTGTTTCAAAGACGGCCGCCGGGTTAAGTTCAATTCAATTCAGCTTTATTTGTATATCGCTTTTACAATGTAGATTGTGTCAAAGCAGCTTCACATAAATGGTCATAGTAACTGGAAAAGTGTAGTTCAGTTTTTTAGTGTTTAAGTTCAGTTCAGTTTAGCTCAGTTCAGTGTGATTTAATCATTACTGAGAGTTCAAACACTGAAGAGCAAATTCATCGATGCGTAGCTCTACCAATCCTGAGCCATGCGAGCCAGTGGCGACAGCGGAGAGGGAAAAAAAACTTCACCTGATGGGAGTGAAGAAAAAAACCTTGAGAGAACCAGACTCAATTGGCACGACCATTTTAATTTCTCCGCTGGCCAAAAGTCTTGTGCAAGGCTTCAGTCGCCAAGTAACTTGCCTTAAAGGGACTTAGCTCAAGTGCATCAAATAAGAAGCAAATGAGGAGCATGTTGAAGGGGACAGGGGCATGTCAGACAGTAGAGAGCATTGGATTGGTCAACAATTGAGAAACTGTAGTATGAGATGATGTGAAAAAACGTTGATCCATTAAGACAGATGTTTTATTTATTAATATTTAATTAAGTTATTCCTTAATTTTTACATAAAAGGTAAATTAATTTAGGTAGGCTACTTTATTTTTTGATGTACGAGATCGAGGAGCATGTTTGCCAGTAAATAATGTTTTCACCACTTTAAAAAAATAAATAGATAAATAACTTGCGAAAAGGATGCAATAAAAAATGCAAGCGCTTAATCATTCTTCACAATCGGATTCGTACGTGCAATAAGCCCAGGCTATATTGCGCCGACAAGAACAAGCCCTAAAACAAAGTCTAGAGAGAGAATTAATATTAGTTAATATTAATGATTATAAACATGAACTGTGTTGTATGATAAACGCCTCACAATGTCGTGATCTTCTCTGAAGAACAGATAATCCATGTTATCGCCGTCTCCCCAGCCAGGTTTTCATCTGCTTTTTTTTTTCTTCTTCTCGCTACAAACAATAAAGTATCAGCACTAGACCAGTGGTTCAATTTATAATTTACTCTCCTGATTTTATTTTCTTTTTATTTAAAAAAAACAAATGTTTAAAGTTTTGTATTGCATGTATATTCTTAAAGATTATCATTCAGCCTACCTGCAGCGCATATGAGAGGTTGCTGGGCAAATCCCCTTTACTCATGCTACCCATTTCATTTATGACACTGTAAACTTAACTTGGCAGGCTGATCATCTTTAAACTCAAAAGGTATTTTTAACTTCTGCATAATGTGATGTTTCTTATTACAACTGTTAGCGGTGTCAAAATGAAAACAAACATTAAAAAGGGTTTTGTTTTATCAATTGTATAGTTAAGTTATAATAATAATGTATATAATAAATTATAATATTGATTATTGTGTGACTACAGTGTCCAACAAAACATTTTTATTAGGTTACTCTAATAGACCTAATCCCTGAAAACGAATGTGAAAATGACAGGCAGTTGTGTCTCTACTAAAACTAATTTAACGACAAATTTCTTTTGCATTTTTTTCCCCTTTAGAGATCAAGAGAGCTGTATTTACAGAATTATTTAACTAAAACATGAATTGAATGCCCAGTTCTTTCCCGTGTGAGTTTAGTGTGCCTCGGGACCAGATCTCTGGACTATTGCTTTAATTTCACAATTTACATAACTGCATTGCATTTTCATATGGTAAAATATCAAAATTTATGCTCTGAAAGTAGAAGGAATGACGGGAGTGTTTGTAATTAATGACAGAAAGAACTTTCACTCTTGAATGAACTTCTGTCACGTGTTATTTTAGTATGGTGAAAAAAAATTTATTTAACAAAAATAGTAATGCAGTATTGTTCGCTCCGCCAAGCCTTCTCTGTTGCTGTGTGGAGCAGCACCACCCCGCCCCCCGACTCCTGAACGTCTCACACACTCACTCATGCGGGCATGCACTGCGGTCTCATGAGGAAACGCAGCTTTTTGATATAATGTTTTTCTTGTTCCCGAATACAAATAATTTTTCAAGTGTTTGTTCAAAATAAGTATTCGTAAAAACACTCTATTCGTGCTTATCCGAATACCGTATTCGGGTTCAGCTCCACCCATAATATAAATATCTCTTCTTTTTTTTTTTGCTTTGCATCGCACCCTCCTGCGATGTGCTTATGCGATTTTAATGCTGAAACGATGTATCGTGCAGCCCTAGTTCATACATCTGACTGCTTGTATTAAAGGACAAAATTGTATTACAAATAATATAGAAATATATTTATAGATTTTAATAAAACAAAGGTTTTCTTGTGTTGTGAAGCAAAACTAATTGTTTATGGAAAGCATTGTCAATGTACTAAGATATCGAATTGAACCAAATCGATGGCATGATCATCGTTGTCGAACCGAACTGTGAGACCAGTGTAGGTTCACACCCCTAATATAAATGCCCCTAAAACTAGCAGACTGAAACCAACATCAAATTGTTTTATTTTAATTTTATGAGACCTTTAAATATAATCTGTAAAATCTAAATGTTTGTCAAAGAATTTTTTTTTTTGATTTTAACATTTCAATATGTCAACATTCAAAGTGGATCAAAAGCATTTTTCCCAAGACAAGAATGGCTGTTGTTCAATAGTTTTAGGACAACTTTTGAAAGGTTTTGATCTACTTCAAATGTTGACTGCTGTAGACATAGGCCAGTGTTCTCTGGCAGCTGGGGTAAGAGGATACACTGAAGGGGAAGTGGATTGAGAGAGGGGGGCTGCTGAGGCTTTTAATGGAATTGCCTCTTCTTCTTCCCCTTGTCCTCTAGATTTTGCTATTAAGCACTCTAAACTATGTCTGTAAACCCATTGCAGCCAATTTCTTTTCTCGTGGTGTGGTCATCATATATTGATCTGATTATTTCCTCTTACAGGGATCGAGTCTCTCAAGCAGGTGACCCGCCGCTACGCCCGGAAACAGAATAAGTGGGTCCGTAACCGATTCCTCAAGAGTAAGTCTCACTGAGCACACACTCTTTCCTTTGTGTGGTGTAGTAATTCAGTCAACAGATTTGACACCCACAGGGCAGTAAAGCGTGCTTATTCTGTCTGTATTGTTCCTGCAATAAAGTAACGGAGCGACATTGCGTGAAAGTTTCCACCATTCTCAAGTCATCGTCCTTTGATGTGAGTTTGTCCTCCTCCCCTTTCTATCCTGTCGCTTGTGTTTGAGGGTTTAATGGTCTGTGACTTACAGTCTCTGCTGCTGGATGCTCTGTAACACAGCAGCTGCTCTAGTTCAAAGTACGCAGCAGCCACTGGCTTCAATTTTGGATCACACACACACACTCTCAAGGGAAGCACAGCTGCTATTAGTGTGCACTCCTCCACGTTCTGAATTCATTGGTGCATATTACATATTGGTCTCACTGGTGGCTTGTCTGTTGCATATTGGCCTCAGTCCTCCCCAGAGGTTACAAGAGCCGTGCGTGTGTGCATCTTTTTTTGAGTATGGCCCAATGGTCAGGTAATCACAGCCAGTTTTAACAAGATGGACTTCACACAGACCATTAAACACACAAACAGTCGTGTAGAAATAGTGATTGTGTGTTTGAAGGCTACCCATCCCTTACAGACAGCCTCAAAATTCCAAGTCTCAGGGTTTAGTGTTTACTGGCCTTGAGCTGATAAAAGATCAAATGCTCGTAAAGCTTGGGCCTTTCAAGACATGGTCAGTCTGAACAGCTTGTTCTTTTACTTCCTAACAGACAACAGACAAATCAGTAGACCTTTCAGTGACTAACCAGCTGTGTGTGCATGTGTTTATGTTTGTATGTGCTAGTGACGTCAGGGTGTGAAGTTTTTTTTTTTTTTTTTTTTTGGGCAAGAATGTGAAGGGTGCTATATAGGAGATGTACATGTGTACAAGTTGAATACTGATGTGTGCATAATAAAGATTGTAAAGTAAAATGGGGTGTGTGCATTTGGCATAGCAAAACAGCTACACAGTGGGTTGGTAAAAGCTATACCAAGGTGTCTCCCATTTATACACACTTTTACACATGCTTTTAAGTTTGTCTGATTTTTGTTAGGGAATTGCTGCACTGCCCAAACCGCATTCTTGGATTTACCTTGGATGCCCACTTTACATATTCGTAGTGTTTACCACTAGGGCTGCACAATATATCATTATTTTAGCATCGATATTGCAATGTGATCTTTGATAATTGTCACATCACAGGATATATGCAATGTTGAGTCTGTCTTACAGTTTATCAACTGCATGTGTTTTTGATACCTGTGATTCTATAATGATTTTAAAAGCATTGGTGTATAAGAAAGTGTGCCATTTGTGACCTTAACGATGATTATTTTATCATAATATAATAACAAAAAAAAATAACAAAGCACTTTATTTCAATTGTATCTTTTTCTTGACTGTATTTATAGGTTCATATTTATATGCATGAAGATACAACACAGGCAAACAAAGAAACGCAATGCAAATATCGCAGACAACAACGAAAATGTGTCTGGGTACCCCAAAAATTTTATAGATTGCTTAGATTTTATGGAGATGCATTCCTGCTGCAGAATTGTGTTCATATCACTTCATCACTCATATCATTCATTCATTCATTCATTTTCTTTTCAGCTTAGTCCCTTTATTAATCCGGGGTCACCAGTGCGGAATGAATCTCCACCTTGTCCAGCACGTCTTTATGCAGCGGATGCCCTTCCAGTTGCAACCCATCTCTGGGAAACACTCATATCATAATCACTCAAATTTTTCCAATATTGTGCAGCCCTATTTACCACCAATTTTGTTAAAGGGATGGTCCAGAATGTATTTTTAAGACTTGGTTGTTTAACAGATGCAAGGCAATGTGTTCTTATGCCTCATTTGCAAAAAATCATGTTTTTTTATTATACGTCTTATTTGTGAATTATATACAGCTAGTCGGCTAACATGAGAACGACTGTCATATTTCCTAGTTTGTCTGAAAGGTCCACCCTCAAGGGGCTCTGATTGGTCAGCTAACATAATGTGCTGTGATTCTCAGTTCACGTGTTAGGTCATTTAGAAGCCCAAATATAGAAACTGAACAAGCTCTGTGGAAATAGCAACGTTTGGATGGGATTTTAGCTTTTTCTGCTGCAATACAGCACCTCTGTCCATGCCCCTTTGCTGCGTGGGGTGTAAGCCTGTGGTGAATCGTTTGCGATCTCACTAGCCCGGATATATATATTTTTTTAGTTCCCAAACTTTGTTCATTGTAGGCTTTGCTAAGCTAACGCTGTAAAAGCCAATGTCTCCTTCTGCATTGAACTTTGAGCATAATACATTCTGAGATGTTGTTTATGTTCACACAGCTACATTACACATCAACTAAAGTTTAATATATGATATCATAATGGACGACTCTTTTAACATTGTTCATGCATTTCCTTTGGATCCTCTCTCCTGTGTCTTTGGAACTTGGCCTTGATTACCCCCTGCTCCCCATCCCCACAGAGGCTACAAGCAATCCTGTTAGCCCTAATGAGATTAGGCAGAAACAGTGGCTAGCTCTCTTAAAGAGTAGTTTTGTGTCCCGCCATATGTGGCTGGACTGCACAAGGGTTAGCTGGCATTAGGTGAATGTGGCCTTTAATGCGTTTGTAGGCTGACAGCACAATCTTCATCAGAGTTCTTCAAAGAGCTGCTTTTTGGTAATGTTTTTGGTAAATGTTAATGTAAATTTATTTTTTCACTGGATGATTTCCGGTGCATTGACCATTTTTCAGTCTTGTAGTGCATCCTGATTCTGCTCCATCCATAAAGCAATTTGTCATCCTAATTAAATATGAACACAAGTAGCAGTCAAGATTTCTATTTACACTTCCTCTTTGAAAAGTTCTGACATGACCAGGCTCAGACTCCAGTCCAATTTATCCAAATTAAGGTCTTTTCTCGCTGAAATCTGGAATTTGTGATTCAGTGTGCAATAACCTTTACAGTCTTATCTCCTGAAAGAAGAGTCCAAATAGTCCTGAAAATATGGCATTGGACTTGGACTAGAGCAGTACTCTTTTGAACTCTTATCACCTCATGTTGCCTTGCTAAATAGGGTCACCAGGCCAGTGGGTCTCAAGTCATTACCACTCAAGGTTGTTACATTCTCGTTGAACCAGTTGGATCCATCCCCACCTCTTTCCCACCCTTCCTGGACTCTGACCTGCTTTTGGCTTGGTTAATCTGTGGCTTTCTGTCAGTGGCGTAGCAGATCCCTCCCTCTGCACCCCACGCATCCCAGAGCCTCATGGGGCCCTCAGCTGACCAGTCTAATCCTGCAGGCATTAGTGCACCGCTAGGAATTCAGATGGGTGGCAGGAGGTTGGAGTCTGCGGTGTGGCCTCTTGGGGATAAGGACTTGTGGGGTCAATAAGGGCAAACCTGGGTTCGTTGTCCTCCAGGACTCTATGGTGTGATTGACTTTTTTTCTTTTTACTTTTTTCTATTTTTTTATTGTGATTCGAATATTTATCTTGCTGCATATTTAGCATATTTATCTTGCTGACCCAGATCAACAGTTCTGAAGAAAACATCACCCTCAGAGCAGTCGAAATTTTTTAGAATTAAAAACAATTTTAGCTAGCTCAAACATTCAATTTATGTTTATTTATTTAGCCTGTTTACAATGTAAATTGCGCCAAAGCAGCTTAACATAGATGCTCTAGTAAATTAAAACTGTATCAGTGCAGTTTTCAGAGTTGCAGTTCAGTTCAGCATGGTTTAATTTTACTTCTGCAAGTACAAACACTGAAGAGCAAACCCATCGATGCGCAGCTCCACAAGTCCCAAACCAAGGAAGCCAGTGGCAAGGAACAAACTTTAACAATTGACGAATGTGAAGGGAAAAAATCTCGAGAGAAACCAGGCCCACCATTTCTCCTCTGGCCAAACTTCCTGTGTGAAGCTGCAGTCTAGGTGCCGAAGGTTGTAGTACATTGAACGTTCATCGTGGAGAACTGCAGGTGTGGTTAGGTCACCGGTGGGTGATCATGCTGCCAGCATTCTACCTCTGGGTTGGTTTGAACCCTACAGTTGATAGTGTTAAATCTAAATTGGGGATTAACATGGTCCTGAGTTGCATTTTTGACTGTGCTTCCTCAGGAAAATGGGGCAGAACAGCTTGGGTGTAACCTTGACAACTGCTCGGTTGATGGTTTGGGGAGGCAACGTGAGCGTTAAATAACAGTCTTTTACCTTTTGTCAATGATAGGGGAAACCTGAGTGGAAGCGCAACAGGTGCAACATGGAAGAGTGTCCTCTTACATCCTGCACACCTCGGGACACACCCTGCACTCCCTAAAATGCTTTCCAACTGGAAAACGGCTGCCAGCCATTTGCGCATAGACTCTTCTGCATGTTTATGTATGAACATTTGTTAATGAGCTTGTTAGACAGCACACACTGGTGGACTAAATATTGTGATGCTTATCCATTACGAAATGAAGTGTTGAGGAGAGAAAACACAGCTGTGATGCCTAGGCTGCAATCTCCAGCTGGATGTCTGATGATTATGGATTTTGACCATTTGGTCTCACTTGGTCTTTCAGCTCTCACTTCCTTTTTGGGATGTCAGTCAAATCCTTCAGCTGTGGGCATTACAACAGGTGTCCTGTGCTGAAATCCATATCCACTCCATCTCTTCTTGCCCTAAGCTTTCTTATCGCACAAACAGCAACAGGTGTGACTGCTCTGTGTGTTTCCTAATGTCCATGTCTTCGGGGACTTTAAAAGATCTGCCAGTTGGTGAGCGAGGGGTCTTTGTCTCAAAAGGTGGCAGCCGTATGGCTGTCCGCCGTGAGTGCGCTGGAGTGGCGCCGCCTCATTGAGGCAGATATTTGAGATCTCTGTGGTTAAAAACCCTTGTTCTCTTGTCTTTTTCACCATTCAGGTTTGGCAAGATTACTTGACTTGGATTTCACTGAGATTTGAATTTTGGACATAGGGGGAAAGCCCTCC